AGATAGATAGATAGATAGATAGATAGATAGATAGATAGATAGATAGACAGACAGACAGACAGAAAGGAGGGAAGGTTAAAGACCTGTATTTGTGATAGCATAAACCTCACTGGTGTTTCCTCTGTTATATGTTGGGATGGTGAAAGCATTATAAAGATAACATTCCATCTGAAACTCGAAAGTACATGCTTTAGGCTATAGCAGGTACATAGACATAGACTTCTTCCATGCCTAAGAACTTGTACACATGTGTTTTACCATGTCTCTGCTGAGGTTAAATTTAACTGGAAGTATTCAGTCATCAAACAGATCACGATCTTGAAGTAAAGCAATCTAACCTTTACTAATTCTTGTTTTATATATTAGGAAGGTATCAGAAAAGCCCGAATGCCCATGATTTTAAAATCTAAGACACTGGTGAGGTGTTGTTCTTTCAATACTTTCTAGAAGTGGGCATTAGTTACGCTCTATGCTGCCCATGCTCTAATCTGAGCTTCTTCTGATGCGGGTAGCCATTTAGATAGACAAGGAAAAATGTCTTGGCTTATGGGGAGGAAAAGTAACCGACCCACCATGAAAGTAATGTTTTCTCCTGTGGTAGCTAAAGTGAGTGTATGCACTTAACAAATCAGAAAAGCTGTTAGGAGGAAACAGGCTTTCGTTTCGGCTAATATTGCTCAGTAATGTCGCTGAGGTTGGAACCCAGAGCTTTGTATCTTTTCCTTTTAGGCACATGTGGTACCACTGAATCCTACATTTGTGTTTTTAGAAATATATCAAAGTTACTTTTTTTTTTAATCTAAAGAAAACAATTTTGTGGCGACTTTAAACCTAGTATTTGAAAATGTTCCTTGCCAGAATCATCACCAGGCACAGAGTGCACTCACTCTTCATGTCTGCAAATTGAAACTGATAACCCGAGGCCAGCATCCAGTAAACTCATCATCATGCTTGTGGATATTCTCATGTCTAGCATCTAGTGTTAAGGGCTAAGGTCGAGGTCTTGAGAGTCGCACAGACTCAGGTTCAAATCCCATCTGCCATGAAGGGATTATCCAGACCACTTTGTATTTGACATTGTTTCATTGCTGTAACATAAGAAAATAAAATTAACAAAATAAAATAACCTGAGGCAACAGGAGCAAAAAGTTCATTTGAGCTTGTGATTTTAGTCTGCCATGGCCTGCTCCATTGCTTTTAGGTTTGTGGCAAAACAGACATTCCATGGTAAGGAAGATGGAGAGGGATGAAGCTCTAACCTCATAGTAGCCAAGAAAAGGGAAGGAGAGAGATGAAGAAAGAAACATGAGATGTGAGAAAGGGGAAGGGAGGGAGGAAAAGAGAGAGACTTGAAAGAGGAGGTAGTGTTGGAAAGAGAGATAAAGAGAAAGAGAGAGAGAGAAAGAATGAGAATGAATGTGGGACAAAATACACCCTTTCTAGCAGGTGACAACCTTCCTTCAAGTAGGCTTTCCCTCCCAGTTTTCATCACCTGCCAGTAATGCCATCACATTCTGACTCCATCATTGGATTTAGAAATCCCGTGGCCACCACACTGGCAAATTCCACCATGCAAAACCAGCTGTACTGTCACTTTCCCAGAGACTGCCAACCCCTTTAATATGTCTCTGTGTTTTTATTTTCTAAGCAGTAATGTACCTAAAATCCTGAGTTTGTTCCCTCCTCTGCCCAACACTCACGTAGCACTTACTTTGTTTGAAGTATTTTGCAGTCAATTTAAATTGCACAACACCTCTGACACAGCTAAATACAGAGGGGGGTTAAGGAATTTCCCCAAAGACACATAACTAGAGGATAGGAAAGAAGATTTCGGATGTTAGCAGTCTATCTTCCCAGGTCTGTGCTATGAAGTCCTTAACCTGTTTGACATATTTAGCCTTTTAAAAATACACAATAAGTGTGTGAGTGTTTAAATGGAAAATACCTAGCTATGATCCACATAAACACATCTTGCATAAAGGCTGTGCCATACTATGGCAGAGAATGAAAGGGCACTTTTAACCTCTTGAATATAAAAAAAAAAAATTATAGCCTGCTGGCTGCACTGGACACCTTAGAATGAGATGTAATAATAGTTCATGCTAGGGCTTGATGGGAACAGTATTATCATGCCAAATGAAAGCCATGAAACGCGGCGTGTTTTTAAATTCAAATGCTTTTTTATTATTAACAAGAGTCTAAGAGAACACGAGGCTGAGAAGGGCATGTGGTGGGAAGCAGATACGGGATGAAATGGTGGGATATGATGACAATATATTGTATAACATCTGACATTCTCAAAGACTGAATAGAAACATAAAAATAAGAGAAGCTTGGAGTCAATCACCTTCCCCAAAGAACTTCTTACTTGGTGTTCTTGTTATATCCCTTCAAATGCTGCTTTAAACCTTATTACGCTGCAAGTCCGAGGCAGTTTCCCCCATTGTTTATAGGTCAGTTGTTAGAGAGTCTGTCTCTCGGTGATCACTTCAGCCTGTCCTACTGACCTCCTCATTCGTTTTAGTTTGGTCTGAAAATCTGTTCTGTGATTCTATCTGTCCATCAGTCCCCACAAGATTTACCTTGCTGATTACATTTAACACGTGCTAAAAATAAAGTAGCTCACAACCTCAGAGACTTGACCAGCCGCCCTTGACAGGCTTAAGAGTCCTTGGCACTAGGGGAGTGGGCTAGAGTGAGAACACTCCCATGGATACCTAGAGAGTCAGGGAGGTGGCAGGGCACCAGCAGCACACAGGTGCATGCTGTGAGCCATGGCAAACGTTACAATGTGAATTATGAGGCCGACCCACATGGCTGTCCATCATGCTGCAAGCCGTTCGCTGTGCTCACACCTTTCACCCGGGGGGGTTCCCCGGGTGTTCCCGCGTGCTTCTGTTCAGGAGCCAGTGTGACTAGGGTGACCCCGTAGTCTCTCAAGATCATCTGCTTGAAACCCACAGAGATGCTTTGTGTGCGTACACCCTGCCACACACCGTCGAGATCATTCTTAGGTCACTTTTATGACACACACACACACACACACACACACACACACACACACACACACACCAGATAGATAGATAGATAGATAGATAGATAGATAGATAGATAGATAGATAGATAGATAGATGGATGGATGGATGGATGGATGGATGGATGGATGGATGGATGGATGGATGAAAAGTAGCAGGCTTGGGATGTAGTTCAGCTGGTAGAGTGCCTGCCTACCATGGATTTGAGGTCCTCCCTGTACCTCAGAAACTAGAGTTCTTCGGGGTACACACCTGCAGCCCAACACTCAAAAGAGGGCAGGAAGATCAGAAATTCAGTATCACCTTCAGTTACCTAGTGAGTTCAAAGCCAGCCTGAGTTACACGAGACCTTATCTCCAATATAGATGAGACAAACGAGGGAGGGAGAGAAGAAAGGAGAGAGAGACAGACACAGAGAGAGAGAATATGACTGCGAGAGAAACAGGAGAGAGCTAGTTCCTGTGTGTCTGTTGTGTCATATTCCTTCTTAACATGCCCGTGTCTTACGATGATATCCTCCCTTTTCCACAGGCATTTCCTATTCAAAACAGGGACAGGGACGACGCCACTGTTCAGTACGGCCACCCCGGGATACACCATGGCATCTGGCTCTGTTTATTCACCGCCTACCCGGCCGCTTCCTAGAAACACCCTATCAAGAAGTGCTTTTAAATTCAAGAAGTCTTCAAAGTACTGCAGCTGGCGGTGCACCGCTCTGTGCGCCGTAGGCGTCTCCGTGCTCCTCGCCATACTCCTGTCGTATTTTATAGGTAAGAGCAAGACCCTGGACCGTTTTGCCTGTAGACGGATGCACCGTAGTGTTGCTCTGCTAGTTTTGGTTATTTATGTCGGTCTAGAATATAGTCTGAAGTATTATTGCGTAAAAGCAAGAGTTACAGCGTACTAGAAACCATAAAAATTTTTCAGTAATTCCAGTAAGATGTGATGAGCAGAAAAACTTGGCTTGGAAGACAGTTCATTTCTATAAAGCGCTAAGTATATTCTTGACATGAATAGTGTTGTCCGTTATTGATGCCATCACTCGCGAATTATTGATAGCTATGACATTTCCTGCACACGAAATCTTTCATAGACTTGCAGGACTCAACCCCGCCGTGTAGGATCTCTCCTTCAACCCATGCTCATTAGTGAGGGACGGACTTTCTGCTCTCTGCAGTATTATGTGTCTGTCAGTGAACTCAGCTGTGTACATGTGAACCTCATCATGCAGGAACATTGTCTTTTATTCAGGAACACTCTGGAGAACCGAGCCTTACCAAATAATGAATGGTTACAAAGTCACTAGCATATGTGAGGTTTTCACCCCTTCTAATGTACCGCACATGTTTTTCACTTAGTCATAACCCAGACGCTGGGAGCGCCTTTCTTCCTTTTGTTTAACTATTTCATAATGTATTTGGACATCCATGCTGCTGGCGATGGCTTTCTTGACTGTCAGAAAGACTACATGGTATTTTGATCTGCTGCTGTGGATAAGGAAAAGCCCTTCACATTGAAATGCTAATGGCATCCACCAAGATAAATCACAGACTGTGTGGTTTATACACCAGGAACAACAGCCAGTGAGGCATCTCCAAGTTTACAAAGCAATTTGTGATGCCCCATGAAATCTCTCACGGAAGACGAGTATCCCAGAGCTCCGTACAGAACACTCACGCTCTTACAGTGGGCCTTTATCCATCAGTCCCTGCAGTGCTCGTCGGATATAAATTATGTACTTTGGATTGTGAAGTAACCATTTCCAGTCTCTGCGGTTAATGGAAATGCAGAACTGTAGAGCATGAAAGAAGTTGGGAGATAATTGAGTCAGAGATGGCAGCTGTGTGGCATGTTGCGGGCTGTTATCCCAAATCGTAGACCATGGATGACATCACTAATGATTCAGAGCTCAGTTTTCAGTCCGAACATGGAGACATCCTCATTATCCTCATCAGAGTGCTCAGACGGCCCTCCAACCGTCACTACCCATCACTCAGAGGGAAGCAAGATGAAATCCATCCGTCCATCATTTTTTAATCCAACTTTACTTCATCTCCTAAGATAGACAGAGCAGATACCACATCATCACAACATAGTGCCCCAGTGAGAGCGTGTTCCCCTCCGGATGCTCTCAGGTGGCCTGGCAGCCTCACAGCGGCGTCAGTATTCAGAGTTAATTTCTGGCACTCAATTAGAAAAATACCCTGGCCGTTAAGAGAATCCTCTCTAGTTAGCTGTATAAATTATTTGTAGCTGTCAGAAGTGAGCCGCAGAAGAATTTTTAAATGAAGTTGAAATGTGCGAGTCTCAAATGGAACGTGATCAATTACCCACATGCATTTGTAGAGATTTTTTTAAACGTGATGCATGCCAGATAGATGCCCTTGCAGGCCTAAAATTTGGTGTTGAGATGACTAAGTTCGGTGTCTGTTGTGATTGGCAAGTGTCTATCCTTGCAGTGGTTTGAAGATCGGCTTGATATGATTTCATTTTATTTTGGGAGTGTGGCTGCCAGGAAATGCTATCATTCAGTGGGATGTTACGTGACTGTTAGTTGCATTCTTTTCAAAGGATCCTTTAGTAAATATAATCATCGAACCTCGAAATAAAAACTCAAAAACGTCCTCTTTCTTACATCGCCTGATTTATTATTCAGTCATCAGTGTCCTACTTTGTAGCTTCTGGTACCATTAATGCACACTTTTCCCTTTTCTTTTTCTCCGCAAGGAAGCATGAAGAATACATAGCTAAAACACTCATGTCCTCCTTCAGTAGCCCCTAAATACGGGGGTTTACAGGACATTTGTTTTGATAACATTGATGTCCTGGGAAGTGCAGAGACAGAGGTTCCAGCGTTATCTAAGAAAAATTACTTCAATCACCAGAAAAATCTGCTTAGAATTTTCATTCACTTTCCTGTATTTAAATGACTGTCACACGGACATGATTGTTTTTAAATCAGTGGAAGCATTTTGCTTCTTCATCAGTTAGTGTGACAAACCTGTTTTGATTAAAGATGTTGCCTTCATTCACCCTTGAGAAGAGAATAGGCCACTGCTCTCAGGGAAGGCTGTCCTTGGCTAGTGAGTGTCCCTGTAAGGGGCAGGCCCACCAGCAGACCAGATCAGCCTGATAAACCACAAGCCTCGCCAGGGAGACACTGCAACTCACAGTTCTCCCGCCCCCCCTCCCATTCCCGTAAATGACACAACCCATCCTTAGACCTTGTCCTTCCATCCCTCAGTTTGATTGTTAATATGAAGCAAAAGCTTAAGAAATTAGTTTTTTTTTTAAATAGCTGAAGGAATTATTCCAGAATGTTTTAGAATGTTCTTTGAACCTTCCAGTATGATAATGAAAAGTTAGGAGGATGTGTCTGTCCCCTGCCTCTCTCCTGAGGCAAAGGCTAGGGAGGGTCAAGGTAGATAACTTCTGAAGACAGGAGAAGACGGGGCAGACACACACTTTGTTGTTTGTTTTTACCTGTTTCTATCGAAATTTCAAAGAACGCAGAGAGCCCTGTGAAGAAGGTGAAAATTAATTGCAATCATAGGACACCACTCTTAGCTTTTAGGTAGGTAAAGGTGCTTGCTGCAGAGCCTGACAGTCTGTTTGATCCCTGGAACACAACAGTGGAAGGAGAGAACTGACTCCAAGCTGCCCCTTGCAGCTATTTTTTCTGTGCATGTTTTTGTGCATGTATGCAGCTTGAGATCCAATGGCTATATTAATTTTGACCAGCTTTTCCTTGTTTGTGTATGTAATTGATACTGTCTATGTAATTTTTTTAATTAACCAGTCCTCAAAACACAACAACTATTCCATGCATCTGAAAATGTACTTGGGTGTCCATGTCTGCTCATTTGATCAGACTTCTTTGTCAGAAGAAATCCTTTGAAGAGAAATTGCTATATAGGAAGGGAGGTACACTTTGAACTTTATAAACCATTTTAATGTCACTATACATTTACATAAGCACCTCTGTTTAAAATGTCACCTTTTTATTTTGTCATTATTTTTATCCATTGCAAATCCCTTAGACTAAACATTTTTTTGTCTTAATGTATTACTAATTATATATTTCCATATTTATTGGTCATTTGATTTTCTTATTTTGGAAGTATGTCTGTTCTCCTCCATTACCTCATTGGATATTTTCTCTGTATTCTTTTACATGTATGTACTTTTTATTTCATGGGCGTGTGGCATGCACATACCATAGCATGCGTGTGGAAGTTAGTTCTGTCCTTTGACTATGTATGTTTCAGGGATCGAACTGAGATTGTTGTGGTTGGCAGCAAGCATCTTCAGTATTGTGTGTGTGTGTGTGTGTGTGTGTGTGTGTGTGTGTGTGTGTGTGTGTGTGTGTGTGTTGAAGAGTGGTTAGGGACACAGTCTTGATATATAGCCCTAATTGGTGTGAAACTGTTTATGTACAGTTGGCTGGCCTCAAAGTCACAGCAATCCTCATGTTTCTCCCTCCTGAATATTGAGATTACAGGAGTGATCCGTCATACCTGGATTTTATGTTTTGTTTTGTTGTGCTGTGTTTTTAACTCAAAACAGTATTTATTAATTAATGACATGAATAGTTTGCCTCCTGTGTTAAGTATTTTATATCAATTTGGTCACACACTCGTTTTTGCCACACATTGTACAGAATTGTGAAATAGGTATGTCGGTTTTCCACACCACACCTATAAAGTATAAGTAGCATTCTAAAAATACTCTTAACTTTATTCAGAAACTTTATTAAATTGACTTGCCAGTGGGAAGGATGCATATGTGTGTGTACACCACGGTCACATGTTACGTAAGTGTGTGCATGTGGAGGCCAGCCATCGGCATCTCCACCCTCCGCTTTATTTTTGAGGCAGGGCCTCTCCCTGAACCTGGAGCTAGCTCACTGTATAAACTGACCAGCCCCAAAGCTCCAGGAATCTGCCTGTCTCTGACTTCCCAGCTCTGGGACTGGAGACATGTGCCACCACACCCAGCTTTTCACGTGGGTGCTGGTGACCTGAACTCCGTCCCTCATGCTCACACAGCAAGCACTTTATTGACTGAGCCACGTCCCCAAACCCCTCATCTAGCATGTTTTCTTGAACTGGAGCTTGAAAGATGTCAGGGGGTGGGGAGGTATTGTCTGGTGTTAGTGGTTGGTCAGTGAAGTGAGTCATATGATGAGGAGCAAAGACATATCAACAGCAGTGCCCAGGAAATACACATCAGGCACTGCTTGAGATTATGTATAGATTTCCTCATTTAATTTTCACAACCCAATGGATTAGCTCAGTTTAACTAAAGCAAATCAGTTACTTTTAAAAAGGAATCCTACCTGGGGTCACACAGCTAAGCCATGAAGGGGATGAGTTCAGAAATAACCAAGCACCCCATTTTATTTTCACTGTATTCCACGAGGTTTCTAAAGAACAGGAAACAGGAAAGAAATTTAAACACTGGAGTGAAAAAAGGAACCTAATCTGTGTTTATAAGGTTCCTTTTGCGGCATTCCAGAAGAAGAAACTTGATGAATGAGGTCCAGCCTTGTGCTTTTCACACTTGAATGTGCCCAGTACCTGGGGAATCTCACTGAAATTTGTCTTCTGAGTGAACAAGATCCGAAGTGAGAACTAAGACTGTGAATTTCCAACAGGCCCCCCAGATACTGCTGCCAGGGTCCACAGATCGTATTTGGGCACCAAGGGTCTCCACAGTGCTGTCAAATGCTCTGCTTGATGACAGAAATGCCCTGTTGGCATACTGTCCA